ATAAAATAAAATAAAATAAAATAAAATAAAATAAAATAAAATAAAATAAAATAAAATAAAATAAAATAAAATAAAATTTGATGATTTTTTATTGAAAACAAAAGCAAAGTTTATGATCATGAAGTTTTGTAATATTTAAAATTTTTAATTACAAAAGAAAAGGATTAGCGACCTCTCTACATTCGATCAAATTATCCATTATATAATCTTTTCGGAATATTGAACTTTAGGATCTGGTGCGATTTTCTGTCAGATTGAAATCAACGGATTTAATATTTTTCAAAATACTTAAATAATAAAATAATAAAATAAAAAATAATTTTTTATAATTTTTTTGCCCCATCTCTCAGAGAAGTAAATATAAATTATTATTTCAAAAATAAAAAATAACTCAATGTAATCGCTTTTGATTATTTAACTGTTGATATCAGGTGGAGACACGTATAACAAATAATAGCGTCAAGATTATTTTACGTTGATGTTGAAATGATCGAATAAATAAGTTGCTGTGGATAGGTTTTGTTTAGTTTAGTAGTAATCAAGTTGTTAATTAATTATAATATTATTTAAATTATTTACCTAATACACTATTTATTTACTTTCTATAATATTATTTGTCCATATTTATTGATGTATTCATCACTCAAAAAGTCTCTCTTTTTCTTTTTCTTTTTTTTTTTTTGAAAATTGATAAAGCGGAAAACCTATTTTATACGCGCATTCTTGGTCATTGATAAGGATGAAAGAATTTGATTTCAGGAAGAGGTCATTACCAGAGTCCACTCATTTATATAAAATATATAACTAATTATTAGAAAAGTTGGAGAAAGGGAAAAGAAAAAGAAAATGGCAAAATTAATAGAAAAACGGTCGAAAATTTATCATTCACGTTTTCTTGTCACAGCATGTGATTTTCATCCAATAATATAACGTTACGTTACAAATTTTATAATGCCATTAAAAAAATATTAAAAACGAATCATTTTTCACAACGGTTCCCGTTTCCACTAATTATACTATAAAGTTTATTGAAGCAAAAACTCCGTCAAAAAAAAATCTATAGAATAATTGAAATAAAATCAAGTATTACCGATGTGCGAACAAATTTGGGAAATGGTTATACACTTTATTACTTGAATTAGCCTATTAATAAATAGGTATTACATTGAATATGTACCTCACTTTACAATTAATCCGATTGATCGATAATAAATAAATTCGAAAGCCCTCCCCCCCCCCACAAAAAAAAAATTAACATGTCTAACGAAAGCAGTATTAATTATTTGACCTCTCCGATAGACTCAATAGACTGCACTTTTCAATCTCAACCTTCTTTTGATTCTGGAATAGCTACTCAAACTACGTCCTCCATTATTCATGAACAAGTGATTCAAACCGAATCCAGTACATTTTCTAATGCACATGCAAAAAGTAAAGTTTGGAATTATTTTACCAAGCCATATGGTCCACTCCAAAGTCGCAAAACAAAATGTCATGAATGTGGAATTGAATTTTCATATCATAGTTCACTTTCTTTATTAAAATACCATTTGAAGAATAAACATAAAATTGACATATTCACTAATTTAAGTCAAGTGAAAAGGCAATCACAACAACAAATTCCAAGTCAACATTCAAAATTTTCTTCATATTCTGAATTATCTCTTCTTTCTGAGAATGAAGAAGCTGATGTGTTCATTAAGGATTTATTTGAATTTTTTATTGATATTCCAGCAAATCAGAGAATAGAAATGCATCAAATTATGATCAACGATTATATTAGAGAACATAAAAAGAATCCAGCTGAAATTTTATATAAAATGATTAGATATTCATTCCATAATTGGTTCACTAGTCTCATAGGATTTTTCTACCAGTACGGAATTGGGACTGTTATTGATAATAGAATGGCTTTTAAATTCTTTAATTTAGCAGCCAATAAAATAATTGATATGAAGAATAACTCCTCAAATCTTTTAATAAGAAAATTTTACAACATTAACAAAGAAATGGGGAATATCTATCTTGCACGTTTGTACAGATATGGTATAGGTATTGAAAAAGATTTGAAAAAAGGGTTTCAGATCCATTCTAAAGCTGCAGGTGAAGGGTCTCATGTAGCTTTAAATAGTATAGGATATTGTTATGAGATGGGATTTGGTGTTGAAAAAAATGAAAAAAAAGAAATTGAATCATTTGCGAGATCTGCAGTAAAAGGAAATCTTGTAGCACTATCTAATATTGGAATTTGTTATGAGACTGGAATAGGAATAGCCATCGACAAAATTAAAGGATTTCAATATCTCATAAAATCTGCTCGTGCTGGAAATGTTAATGCAATGTATAATATTGGCCGTTATTATGACAATGGTATAGGTGTCAGTAAAGACAAAAAAGAGGCATTTAAATGGTATTTGAAGGCTGCCGAAAAAGGATATTCTGCAGCACAATATAATGTAGGAAATTTTTATAGATTTGGTTACGGAATTAATATTGATCATGGGAAAGCACTTGAATGGTATAAAAAAGCTGCAGAAAATGATCATGTTAATAGCCAATACATGCTTGGAGATTGCTTTTATGAAGGACATGGGACCAAGAAAGATATTATTAATGCCATCTACTGGTTAAATAAAGCAAAGGAAAATAAAAATACATATGCCAATAGATTATTGGAAGAAATAATCAGTAATATGATGTAATAGTTAAAAATAAACAAAATTTTAATTAAATCTTTCTTTTACTGTAAAGATGAGTATGACATTATTTTTCGTTAACCAATCCTCTTTCCTGAGAAATCATATATTTCTCATTAGAAATATACAATATATTTTTAAACATCGTCGTAATTATATTAAGGTAAAAATAATTTTATATCATTGTATTAAAATAAATTAGTATAAATTAATCTTAAATAAAATAAATTGGACTTAAAAATGAAATTCGAGAACTAACCTGAGTTGTTTGCATAGTTTAAGCTTTATAAAGGGTCATTTCTTTTTAATAAAATGATTTCCTTTTTTTCTTGAAGTTGACAGCATTAAATTTATAGGTATTACGTGGTTTTTTCTGAAAATTGTATTAACAAAGAATAAAATAAGTAAATAATTTTTCGCTTTACAACAACAAAAATAAAAATCTATTTATTTGATGATTTATACGTTTTCAAAGTTACACGATACAAGCTTAAGATTATAAAAGGTTTATTTTAAAGATTAAATAAAGAAAATTCTCATTATTTGGTGCAGTACATATATAAATTGCCGCATTGTACCAACAACCATTGTAATTTATTATAATTAATCATGTCTCAAGAAAAGACAACCGAAAAAGAATTGGAAACCTGGATGGACATTTTGATTATTGGAGATAATATTCAAAATGAATTTGAGAATGTGAAATTGATTGATTGAAAAAATGTTTATGAAGCCATTTTTGAAACTTCCCAAAAGACTGTTACTTTTAAATGGGTTTCTTTGAATGATAAATTTACACTTTGATAATTTAATAAATTATTTATCCTATAACTTGAATTTGCGGTTAATATTTTAAATTAAAAAGATTAAAAACATCGAAAATTGGAAACTCATAATAGTATTCGAAAATTCCATGCATTACTGAGCAAGGTAAAAATAATTAGATATATGCTTAATATTAATTACTTATTTATTTTATTTATCTATTTTATTTATTTATTTTTATTTTTATAGAATTATCAATAATAGAATAACTCCGCGAATATTGATGCTACCAAGATGAAACACCTATCATTTTGTAGCAAAGAATAAGGCTTTTTTTTATCTTAGAAATAGCTTAGTAGAAAATCGCTCTACGATATTGATAATTATAATAATGATTATCTTCGTCAAATATTCGAACTATTTTTAATATGACGATTCTAAAAATAGATTGGTAACCTATTTGTTGTATTGACAAAAAACATACACGACCACTGTGGTGACACGGAAACGTCCGTGACCACTGAAGGTGGTGATAGTTGTACCAAGGTAAATTATGTGCCACCACCTGGGTGAAATACAAGGTGATTATTTATTCACCCTCGCACAACAC